ACCACTTTGTCCGATTCCCCGATTCACCGATCATCCTCAGTGCCACATGTGGCGTGCGCCGCGCTGCCGCCATGCTTTCCGTGGGAGGATAAAAAGCCAGGAGGCGACATCACCCCGGACTCTGATTTTCGGTACTTCAAAACGAAAAGCTGTAGTCCGATCGCAACTGCATTAAAAAAAAAAAAAAAAAAAAAAAACAAGCAAAAACATGTTTTACCAATGCAGTTATTAATCATTAAAAATATGGCTTGCAAAGCTTCGAAATTTAATAATTCTTGACGCCATAAATGAAAAGAAGAGAGGAGTTGAGAAAGAAAAAAGATTAACGGCAGAAAAAAATAAAAAACGCGTGCGCGCGCGTGGAATTTTTGTTTTTCTGGGTTTTTGTTACGTGTCTCACTACAAATTTTATCGTTTTAGACAACGAAAAAAAAATTGACCTTTTGGGTGCCGGTGCCCCTTTAAAGCGCCGTTCACACATATGCAACCGCGTTAGGCCGAGAGAGACCAGACCGGTTTTTAAGCCGCTGGCGACGTCTTAGGACCAGCTCCGCTGCAACGCACCCGGTTCTAAGACGTCGCAAAAGGCTTAAAAACCGGTCTAGTCTCTCTCGGTCGTATTCGGTTGCAAGAGTGTGAACGGGCCTTAGGGCGGACAAACCCCTCCACCAAGGCATCATCTCCTCCAGTCATAGCAGTGCGATGAAACAGCAATGTGACCGATTTTGTAGGGTATGAAGAGGAGGTAGCAGAGTGATGCGCGCGTAACATATCAAGGCAAGAACCTCTCTGTCTCGTGTTGCCAAAGGGCGTTGTTCTGTGAACATTTGGAGCAGAAGGAATCTACATTAACGGAAACATAACCAGAGCTCTTCGGAGCCTGTCTTGGGAGACAAAGAATGCGCTTAAAGAAAAGTCATATAAATTTGTATGGATGCGTAATGGTAAAATATTTGTAAGGCAAAAAGAGAATGCGGCTTCTATCCGAGTTGAAAATGTGAGAAACCGGAACAGAATTCGTTAAAATGGACAACTCATTTCAATCATTCCCTGACTGGGATGACTTTATAGAACGTACTAAAGCAGATTATGAAAGTAACTCTTTTACTCTGTTACATGTTAATATTAGAAGTATGCAGAAACACTGGGATCAATTCAATGTCTACTTGTCAGAGAGGCTGAGTAGCCTAGATGCGTTAATATTGACCGAAATCAATGTTGATGAGGCAGCCTGTTTAGGATACAAATTGAATAATTTCAGTTCACATTATCTTTTTCGTGTAAAACGTAAAGGAGGGGGTGTTTTGATGTTTTTACGGGATGACTGGGTGTCAGAGCGCCTGGAGACAACGTTTGCTATAGCAGAAGTGGTAGTAGCATCAATACACCGACAAAATGAGTCGTTTACAGTCTGTGGTGTGTACAGATCCCCAACCTAAAACGTAGCTCCCTTCTGCGAAGAATTCAGTTCTCTCTTAAACAAATTTAACAATAACCCTCACCTGATTTTGGCAGGTGATTTCAACATAGACGCTAAAAACCTTTCTAGAGGTGGCTCATCGGAGTACCTAAATATATTAGGTGAATTTGGATTAACAAATTCTATCCAAGACTATACGAGAGAGGAGTGTTTAGGGGATAGTATAACGAGAAGTTGTATCGATCATATCATTGTAAGAGTAAATGAAATGAGGGTATTATCTGGAGTTATTAAACAAAAAGTTGCTGATCACTACTTTATAATAACAACACTACTCCAAGAAAAGGATGGTGATGACTCGTATGTGGAAAAAGGAAATGTAATTATTTTTGACAACAGAAATATTGACAGATTAATTTAACCTTATGATTGGAATTTGTTTACCGAATATGACCATATCACTGCTTACCAACACCTAAGAGATAAATTAAAAAAAAAAAAAATATTCGAAATCAAGAAGAACAAAAATACTCAAGAAAAGAAAAGATAAAAATGTATGGATTGATAAAGATATAATGAAGCTCTGCTACTGAAAAGACAAGCTTTGGGAAAGATGTAAACAAAACCCAGGTAAGCAGGTTCTGAGAGAGGAATTCCGAAAAATGAGAAATAAAGTAACAGCAACGATATGGTTAGCAAAAAAGAAATATTTCTTGAATGAATTCAAAGGATGCAAAGGTAACTTTTAAAGAACCTGGGAACTTACACGACAATTAGCCGGTCTGAAGGCAAAACAAAACAGTGATGACGCAATCACAAAAACTTTTGGAAAAACAACAGATTTTCGAGCACTCGGAAACGCTTTCAATCACACGTTTATTGATACTGCACAAAGTTAAAGAAACATGATAAATAAAAGTGAGGAGTTCGTTGTCGACACTAAAACTAATATGACATCAGCGTATTTGCCTTTGATGACTGAGTGCGAGCTAGAGGAAATACTTTCTGGTATGTCTTTACTGTCAGCTGGTCATTATCTAATACGAGTGCGGGACCTTTACTGTAATTTTGAGAAATTGAAAAATGCTTTACTTGCGATTCTTAATGGCATTTTTGAAAGCGAAAATATTCCAGATGGGATGAAAGTGTCTATCATCAGACCACTGTAAAAAAAGGATAAAAAAAAGAACTGAAAAATTATAGGCCAATATCAATACTTCCAGCGCTAACTCATATCATGGAAAAGCATTTAGCGAAAGTGATGAAATCATTCTGTGACAAATTCTCTTTAATACACTCCTCACAATACAGGTTTCGCAAACAAAAAAACACGACTTTGTTGATAGAAAATTCTCAGACATCATTTATCACTCGTTAGGCAATAATCAAGTCGCTCTTGCACTGTTCCTTGATCTATCTAGAGCGTTCGATACCATAGACCATTCAATTATGCTAGCTAAATTACACAGAATGGGTTTCAGGGGGCCATTTTATACACTTTTGAAAAATTATTTCAAGAACAGATTTCAAATGGTGAAGCTTAAGGGTCAACTAAGTGACCCAATTCAAATCAAATTCTGCGTTCCATGGGGATCAACTCTGGGTCCTTTACTCTTTCACATTTGTATTAATGGGATAGGTAATCTTAACCTTAAATCAAATATATTCTAATACGCAGATGACACAGCATTAATACTACCACACTAAAAATATAATCTCGCTGCTCCGATTTTTCAATGCGATATAGTGGAATTAATGAGGTTGTTTAAAAATAATTATATTTTTCTCAATAGCGACAAGACTAAACTGATGTGCTTTCGAAACCCTCATAAACATGTTCCATTTGATGTTCCTATATTTCTTCATGATCGACAGTGTCATCAGTGCAACTGCCAAAGAATGTAAAATGTTAAAACAACACCCTGTCTTGGTCTGCATTTCGGCGAACATGTTACATGGGGTAGTCACAGTAAACAATTACACAAAAACTTCGTGTTGTCTCAGCATATATTTATAAGCTGAGAAGTGGCTGCGACATCAATTTGAGGAGAGAGGTGTACCTTTCATTGGGGGAATCTGCACTCCGTTACGGTATTACAATATACGGAACATGCGCTAAACACAAACAGCACAAAATCGATAATATCATAAAGAGATGTGTTAATAATATAGTATATGGGTCTAAATATGAGCCTCTTGAAACTGAAGAAAGAATGAATGCAGTCGGAATATTATCTTTTGAAAATGTATTTAAATTTGTTGTTTTAATCAGCCACTATTTCTCCAGTGAGTTCAGAGACATACCAAACAGAATAAAAACACTCCGACACACAGAAACCTATGCCATTCCAAAAATATATACGAACTACGGAAAAAAACAAAGACAGTATTATGTTCCTGAGATATTTAACAACTAACCTAAAAATCTCCTTAACCTGTCATCCAAGAAGCAGATGAACAAGAAGATAAAAGAGTGGTGTTTTTCTGTCTAGTGATGTAATGAACGATAAAAGATGTACGTAGATACTGATTTGTGGAAATTGTTTGATGTTTCATCGGTTAACACTGACTGAGTTTATTATTGCATTCGATGTTACTTATCGCATAGACTTGTTATTAGTTCGTTACGACTGACTGATTGTTTTTCATTGTTGCATCTGTTGTTGCATTTCGCGTTGAATTTTGTTAATAGCACGTGAACTCTCGTAGCTGCCTGTACTATTTTTGTACTTTTCTCTCCTTTTTTTATCCTAATCATATGGGATGTTAAGTGCCGTATGTGTTTGTGATTCATTTAATTGTGAATTATATTTATTATTTATGTCTACAAGATAAATATAATTGCTGCCATGTCCCACATACAAGCTTACTACGCTTAAGCGGGCTCGATTGTTTGCCGGTTTTTGATTGAAAATAAACTTTATCCTTTATCCTTATCCTTTAACTGCGCTGTAAGGTCTGGCGTCATTGTTTATCGCTTTCTCGGCGTGCTCTATGTGTTGCCGGGCGCCGCCACCTTCGCATTCGTGACTAATGCATACCCGTAAAGAGATTGCCCTTTGCGGGAAGCTGGCCGGGGTGTCATGTTTCCTCTCCGTGCTCCGATGGATGGACGAGCAGCATTGCATTCCGGTGTGCCAAGGTTGTATGAGAGTTGCGCAAGACCTGACATCAGAACCGACGAATGGCAAAGCCTCTGAAGGAGTGATGTCAGTTTTGGCAAATAGCAAAGCGTCTGAAGAAATGATGTCAGTTTTGACGAATGGCGCTGGAGAAAAGTGATGTCAGTGTTCGGAGTGTTTTTTCTATGTTCTTTCACTGGGGGGGATTGTAAGCAGCGCGTATCCGCTGGTATTTAAGCGTGGTCTTGACTGGAAAAGGGGTTCTTGTCTGGAGCTAGGTGGGCAGGCCTCACCTCGAGTAGCCGCGGAGAGGGTCCGCGGGGCGGCCAGAAAGTTCCCTTCCTGCTTCGTAAAAGTTGTTGTATCGTGATTCCTTGTATATAAAGTATACCTACCCCATACCAAACCTCATCGAGCCTTCTCGCTGATGACATCGGGAGAGTCCGTGGCGCATCGAGAAGAACAAAGAACCATTTACTGGCGCAGTCGACAGCACGAAGCACCACGGAGGAATCGACGACGGCAACAAGACGACAGGAAACCCTCGCAGGACGCCAAAGGCGGCGTTTCAGCAGCGGACAAGAAAAGACAGATCATCGAGTTTCCTTCACTGGCCGTCCGCAGGAACGACACGAGGTCAAGACTGGGACAAGAAAGGCTACGAAGGAGAGATCTGCGACGTTTCCGGAACGAAGAGGACGCCAAGCAGTAACCGTCGACGCACAGACGAGGAGCGACCGCTGGCAGGCCGCCGGGAAGAAAACATCGACCCGACACGCGGTCACGCACCGCCACTATCGTGCCTCAGGGACCGAGAATTGGGCGCGGAGAGCACCATCAGACTTCCGCAGCGAGGACGTCGGCTTCAGGCGACGAGCGACCAGGCGCACACACAAACATCCGAGTGAGTCCCTTGGTTCACATTCCTCTGTTATGTGTTGTGTTGCTCGAGCCGGCCCAATTATATGAATACCAGATTTCCGCACCTAAACGCGGATAAAAATCGGAGAGACATGAACAAGAGCGGGAAAGGCGGCGGGGATGGTAGTCACGTGCCAGACTCATCTCTCTCGGAAAAAGAAATGGAGTATAACCTGAAGCTAGCAGAAGAGCGCCGACGCGCTCTAGAACTTGAACTCGAGCTCGCTCGGGTTCGACTGGACACCGCGACGCAGAGGCGTGACGAGGCGAGCGAGGCGGAACCTTCGAGCGGCCAGATGGGACTCAGATATTACTCCAAGTTGCTAGCAGGTGCCTTCCCGAAATTCCCAACCGACGGCGAGGTGCCTATTTGGTTTGAGTCAGTGGAGAGCTCACTGGGTGCGTACGACGTTCCCAAGGCGCTGTGGGGGCAGATCGTCTTCCCGATGATCGCTGAGCGGGTTGCATACTTGTCAACGCGACTAACCCCTGCGGAACACAGGGATTACGATATACTCAAGGGAGTAGTTCTCGACGAGTTGAAGCTGTCAGCGGCCGAATACCAAAGGCGGTTTCTTGCCGCGACCAAGCGAAAGGGGGAGACTTGGAAAACGTTTGCAACTCGTCTACAGAGTTACATTAACTTCTATGTGGAGGCCCGCGGCGTCTCCTCCTTTAAGAATCTTCTCGAACTGTTAGTCGCCGATCAGTTGAAGTCGGGTTTAGCAGAAGAAGCCGCCAAGTACGTTAAGCTGCGGGAGGGGGAAGAATGGTTAAAAGCAGACGAACTGGCTCGGCTGCTGCAGACCTATGAGGAAGCGGCGGGCGAGGGCAGTGCGTGCGCGAAAATAAACCTCGCTAAAAGGGCAGAGTCAAAGGGCACCAACCAAGGGGTAATACCGAGCGCATCAAAAACAACCGGGAGCGTTACAGCTCGGGCAGAGAAACCCGAGACGACCAGGCCGCCCTCGGTTGTTAAGAAAGCGTCTCGGCCGGGCGAATGCTTCCAGTGCGGAAGCACGAGCCACTACGTGGCTCAATGCCCGTTCGCTCGGGAAGCGAGGGGGGTAAAAAGTGACGAACGACCACGCGGAGAGAGATTAACGGCACGTATCGCAGCTGAAAGCCGCAGCTTGGCACATCCAAAGCTTGGGAGCGTCAAAGTTAGCTGCCGAGGCAAGGTAATTGATGCAATTGTCGACACCGGAGCAGACATCACAGTAGTCCGTGAAAGCAGTGTGCCAGAGGAGCTGCTAAAGCCGCATGGGAGTATAGAACTCGTGTCCGCATTCGGCGAGAAGGTCGAAGCTAAGCTCGCCGTGGTACCACTCGCACTTTACCGCGGGGCATCCTTGATTCACGACGTGGGTGACGCGACGCAGGTCGTGTGCGCTCTTACGGATCGGCTCACACACACTGACTGCCTGATCTCCGCGGAAACATGGGAACAGTTGCACACGCATAATGAGGCGGATGACGAGGTTCACATACAAGCAGTGGGAAAACGGGGCCAGCAGGGAGAGCAGGGACAAGAACGGGAGAACCTGTTCGAGCCATCGAATTCCAACACGGTTTCAACCGATGTTCCCCCACCGCCTGATATCTCCGCAGAGGAGCGAGAGGAGCCGAATCTCGAGACTGAGGTGATGCAAACCAGTGACGCGCGAAAGTTCCGTAATGAACAGCGAGATGACGAGTCATTACGACGGGCTTGGCAAAATGCAAAAGGTGGCAAGGCGGGCATGTCAATAGTAGACGGATTGCTGTACCATAAAGATCAAGTACTTGGTCAGAAAGTGCTGCAGTTATTACTGCCCGAGTCGCGCCGCAGCACTGTGCTTCGCCTGGCCCATGAGTCCTACTGGGGCGGTCATCTCGGCTTCCGCAAAACAAAAGCGCGCATTAAGTACAGTTTTTACTGGCCAGGCATGGAGAAAGACATTCGCGACCATTGCAACGGATGTCACAGTTGTCAGGTTCGATCAGACAGACGGCAGTCCGATAGGGTGCCGATAGCACCGCTCACGCGCCCGAAGTTCCCATTTCAGAAAGTCAACATGGACGTGATCGGCCCTATCGACCCACCTTCAGCCAGAGGGCACCGCTATGCATTGTGTGTCATAGACTTGTGCACACGCTGGCCAGAGGTGGTTTGCCTAAAGTCACCGTCAGCCAAAGCGACATGTGATGCGCTGCTGACCGTGTTCACCAGGACAGGAGTACCAGAAGTAGTGTGTTCGGACTGCGGAACGAATTTCACAGCTGCACTTACTAGCGAGTTTCTCGCGAGACTGGGTTGCACCCCACGGTTCTCGACCCCTGACCACCCGGAAAGTAACGGGTCCGTGGAAAGGTGGAACCGTGTATTCAAAAATATGTTGTTTCACGTAATCGAGAGAGACGCCCGAGACTGGGATCGATTCGTCCCCTTCTTGCTGTGGGCCTACCGAGAGGTCGCCCACGACACAACGGGAGTGTCACCTTTCCGGATGCTTTACGGTAGAGACCCGGTCGGGCCTCTCGCTATCCTCGGGAGAAGCTGGGCGGGTGATATTGAGATCCCAGCGGAGTTAGCGGACGCTCCCGCGGACTACTTAGAGAAATTGAAAACGCAACTAGGGCTCGCAGCTGACGCCGCGGAGCTCACCACAAGCAAGCAACAGGAGGCGTACGCGTCGCACTACAACAAACGCGCCATGTTAAAGGTGTTTAACGAGGGCGACGCGGTCCTCGTCTTTGACACAAACCGCGCAGGGAAAATGTACCCGAAGTGGCTGGGGCCGTGCACAGTAACGGAAAGGTATCGTGAGCACTCGTACTACGTGCAGACGCGCGATGGCCGCCGCATGCTAGTGCACGCGAACAAACTGCGCCCCTACGTTCGCGAAGTTGCATCGGTGAGCGTTATGTTCCACGATGACTGTGACTTCGGGGAGGTAGAATACACTCCGCGAGCAGCCGAGCCTGGCCAGGCGCGTCCAATTCTCGATCATGAAAAGACCGCGCACATCGATGAAGAAACAGCTGCCCGTATAGGTGCTGCGTTCGACCAGCACCACGCGCTCTTCTCGGGCCAGCCGGGTATCGCGCGAGTGGGGGAACACCGTGTGAAGCTAATCGAAGGCGCTAGCCCAAAGCGCGGCCGCCCCTATAGGATTCCTGACGCCTTAAAGGGGGAGGTTACTGAACAGATCAGAGAGCTGCTGGAGCTAGGTTTGATATACCGATGTGAAAGCGCCTTCGCACACCCGATCGTATGCGTGCCAAAGAAAGATGGGTCGGTGCGCTTGTGCATCGATTACCGCGCGCTTAATGCAGTGTCGGAAACAGATGCCTTCCCAATGGGACACCCACAGGAGCTCATCATGCGCGTGGGGGCGGCCAAGTTCATCACGCTCATAGACCTGCGACGTGGTTACTGGCAGGTGCCATTGGCCGAGGAGCTTTGTACGGCGTTCATCTCGCACTGTGGTCAGTTTGCATGGAGGGTGATGCCCTTCGGCCTCAAAAACGCGGCGGCGACTTTCCAGAGAAATATGAATCTCGTGCTGGCAGGTCATGAAGACTACGCGTGCGCCTATCTAGACGACATAGCTGTGTTCAGTACGTCGCTAGAACAACACGTTGAGCACCTACAAAGGGTGTTCACAGCATTACAGGCGGCAGGCTTGCATGCAAACCTTGAAAAGTGTCAGGTGGCTAGGCCTTCTATTCGCTATCTGGGGCATATTGTAGGTTCTGGGAGGCATGGTCCAGATCCCGAGAAAGTGGCGGCCATTGAGGGACTCCAGGTGCCCCAGACAAAGAAAGAGCTGAGGAGCGCTCTCGGCCTCTGTGGGTATTACCGTAGCTACGTTCCTAACTTTGCAGAGATAGCTCGGCCGCTGACGCAGCTCACTGGGAAAGGGGTGCCTACTCAGATACCTTGGCCTCCTGAAGCCCACGAGGCATTTAAAGCCCTCAAGCAAGCCCTCTGCGAAGCCGTGTCGCTGGCTACCCCTGACCCGGGAAAGCCGTATGTGCTCCACACTGATGTCTCGATGGTGGCCGTCGGTGCCTGTTTAGCACAGATAGCCGCCGACGGCTCCGAAATTCCGATCGCCTTCGCAAGTCACCGGTTCACGCCAACGCAAACGCGGTGGGCCACGATCGAACGCGAAGCATTCGGGGTGATTTGGGGATTAAAGAAGTTTGAGACGTGGGTCTTCGGCACCCAGGTAACCGTCGTTACCGACCATAACCCGCTCTCGTACCTTACAAGCAGCGTGCCCCAGGGCGCAAAACTCACACGTTGGGCCTTAGCGCTACAGCGTTACGACGTGATAATCCGTCACCGCAAGGGCAGCACCCATACAAATGCGGATGCCCTATCTAGGCTCCCTAACGGTTGCTGGGAAGCATTGCCGGCTCGAGCACCATAGCAAGCAGGCGTGGAATGTGGCCTCGTGGACCACACGAAAAGTGCTGTGACTTTTGTGTGCCAATACGAACTCCCGCGGAGGGAATGAACCATTTGTCTCGTGGACTCGTTGAGTGTTCAATGGTGTTTTCATACCCCTATATTTCGCGTAACCCTTGAAGTGTGCATGACTTAATTTTGTGGTGTTGTAATGACGCCGGACTTCGTTTTGTGTTTGTAGTCCAATTAATCTTGGTTTAGATTAATGGATCTTGGAAGGGAGGTGTAAGGTCTGGCGTCATTGTTTATCGCTTTCTCGGCGTGCTCTATGTGTTGCCGGGCGCCGCCACCTTCGCATTCGTGACTAATGCATACCCGTAAAGAGATTGCCCTTTGCGGGAAGCTGGCCGGGGTGTCATGTTTCCTCTCCGTGCTCCGATGGATGGACGAGCAGCATTGCATTCCGGTGTGCCAAGGTTGTATGAGAGTTGCGCAAGACCTGACATCAGAACCGACGAATGGCAAAGCCTCTGAAGGAGTGATGTCAGTTTTGGCAAATAGCAAAGCGTCTGAAGAAATGATGTCAGTTTTGACGAATGGCGCTGAAGAAAAGTGATGTCAGTGTTCGGAGTGTTTTTTCTATGTTCTTTCACTGGGGGGGATTGTAAGCAGCGCGTATCCGCTGGTATTTAAGCGTGGTCTTGACTGGAAAAGGGGTTCTTGTCTGGAGCTAGGTGGGCAGGCCTCACCTCGAGTAGCCGCGGAGAGGGTCCGCGGGGCGGCCAGAAAGTTCCCTTCCTGCTTCGTAAAAGTTGTTGTATCGTGATTCCTTGTATATAAAGTATACCTACCCCATACCAAACCTCATCGAGCCTTCTCGCTGATGACATCGGGAGAGTCCGTTGCGCATCGAGAAGAACAAAGACCATTTACTTGCGCTATACGAGTTTTTGGGACCACTTGCTGGAGCACAAGAGCGACTTCACAATAGACTGCAAACCAGAGCGTGATGAAACATGAATTTCGCGACAAACTCGGCAAATATAAAAGAGACTTTTGAAATGATTCGGCAGATCTATGTAAAAACAAAAAAAAAAAAAGCTGTAAACTGTACGAAGTGTTTTGAGTTGCTTTCTATTTTGAAGAATGACAGTACGTCATTGGAAGACAATGAGATTGGAGAAGGTCGCCCTACCTCTCTTCATCCTCCATCTGTGTTTTGCCATTCTCTATGGGCGAGTGCTTCTAAAAGCACTCCACTTTTCCCCAAATATGTGCTGTCACCTAGACACGCGACAGAGTTCCAGGCCATTTGACACCCAAACACCAGTGTCAGTTTTTTTCTAATGACTCAACATATGTGACCGAGGCATCCGTTTGGTTTTGGCGTAAGGTTGTATTGCACTTTTCTGGCTTTAGTTTGGTGCTGTCATAAAGGAAGAAATAACCTAATTTCAAAACATGAAATAAAAGTAATTTGCGTTAGCAAATTAAGTTTCTTTCGCCGATGAAGGATTTGGAAAAAATTGGGTCAGGTCGCCGTCGGTTGTCGTCCAGACACTTCTTTGTGAAGCTCGTTGGTGACGTCGGGTTGAGGAGCGAGGGACGGATCTGCTTGGCAAGACAAGTCCTTCGCCGGTCCCTCAGGAGCCACGCTTTCCCTCCGTCGATCTCGAGACCCCCCTCGTCTTCTTTCCTTCGCCTCACCTTTGTCTTCGTGACTCGTTAACGTTGCTTTTCATCTTCTTTCCGTCGGTTTATTAGACCCCCCCTTACAGTCAGCTACATCCTGTTTGCCTATTAAGCCGCGCTGGCCGCTTTTTCCCCCATCATCGGTTATCTTCATTCCCGAGGTTGATACAAATAAACCATCTTCCTTCTCTGCTCGGCCAGAAAAAAGAAAAAGCGGATACCGAATTCATTTACTATCGAACCGATATTCCTGCAAAAAGGCCCCTTTACTACTTTTTGACATAAGCCTGCTGAATCATTTCAATATTCTCTCTTTAAGATTTGCCGAGTTTTACGGAAAATTGCTGTTTCCTCTCGTTTTGGTTTGCAGTCTATGGTGAAATCGTCACTTTTCTCGTGCTCGTGGTCACAAAAATGCCTTTTGGGAACTCCAGCGAAATCGAAGGCACGAAATGGCTAGAACAAACAGCCGTGGCGGCAGGTTCACTGTCCAGCCTTTCAGAGCGAATCTGATATTCACAGCGCCTTCCGGTCAAAGCGCGAAGCCGTGAAAGTAGGTTCAGAAACACGTGATAAATATCGGCAATATCGCAGCTGCGAATGTTTAGAAAACAACGCCCTTTGGCGTAATGAGACACGAGGGTTCCTGCCTTTGCCTGCTTTGCGCGCGTCACCCTCTCCTTTTACGCTACAAAACCAGTCTCGAAATGTTTCGATCGCACCTCGCAAGTCTCAAATGAGCCCGTCCTTCGACCATGGCAACATATCAGATGCCAAGGTCGTGTGGCGTCACTTTATTTTCTAAACCTCTGCACACATCGGTGCAGAAGGGAATAAACCATGACGTGGTGTTTTCTTCCTTAACTGCTTTATTGCGAGAGTTGTCTAGTTTTGTTCATGTGGAGACGAACGGGAGCATATATGGCTTCAGGGAAGAACGTCAGTATCCTGAGACCCACGTCTCATAATGCAGTCTAGGTCGGACCTCCCGTCGGCAGGCATATTACGAACGTGCTCTGGGCAAAAAAAGCTCGCTCTGTCCGCTGCCTCAATTCTGGGAAAGCTTGCAGAATATCAGGAACGTGTCATAGACTTTCCCGAGAGACAGTCATGCATCCCAAAGCAAATGGAGTCTTTGCTCCGCATACCTGATTTCCGTATAGATGTATTTGTTTATTAGAATTCTGAAAGAAGTATTCAGGGTTCTACTAGGTACTAGCCTATCTCTTAGATGGACTGCACAAATAGAAAAGCATGATTCCAATATCATCGTTTCTGGCGTTCGCTTCCTTTTCTACTAATTCACAAAATGAATTCGCACATTACGTGTAAGTGTTCCTCTGGTTTCCAGTCCAATTGACCTTTCTTCATGGAAAGTCTTGTACGTGCTCAGGCCCTCCTTAGGCAGTGGTGAAAGCTCGAACTACAGTTGGCGTCAAAATAGGGCGTTGCACTACCTTCCTCAATCATAACTCCAGTTAATTGCGGGGAGTCAGAGAAGGTAGCGCAAATCCCGTTCTAGACGCGAATCACACTTGGAGCTTTCGCCGTCGTCTTAATGAAGAAAGGATCAATTCGGAAAGAGAGAGAGAGCGGAAGAGAAAGAGAGAGAGAGAGAGAGCAAAAAAAAAAACAAGGTTGTGAAGAGATCGGTAGCCTTAAAGGGCAGTTGATTTTCGACATGTATATATTACTGGTAAACAATATTTACTAGTCCGGTAATGCTAAGGTGGCAGCCATTTCCCTAGTACATTTTAACCGGCATCCTGATTTTAAGGGATATTCTAGATTCACAATGTTCAGCCATGCCGCAGTCCCTGATGATTGCTGAATAATTGTAGTCTCTTGCTATTGTTGCGGTTTAGGTTTTAGAAACCTGCCACGGTGACATTATACATACATCTTGATATATTTCAATCAATACCGAACATAAAGGGGCGTCGTGACTTGAAGTTGCCACTTAGCCATAGTTACTGAATTATGACAATTATTGAGAGCAGCTAGACTCATGTAATGCAAGTTATAACCGAAGGTGCCAGCTCGTGTTTAAGTTAAAACAATAGAAAAACAGGGATGTTCTACAATACTAAATATACACAGACCCTGCAAACAGAAACGAGAAAGCGTCAACTATAGACGCA